AGCACGTATTACTGCGCAATAGGTACATAAGCCGGTGACATTTTACTAAATTAACGTCAATATGTACTTGGACTAATGGCCGGTGTCCTAGCTACCTGTTAACATTCATTAGTCCTTGTGGTTCGATAACTTAATGCGTTTACGAACTACGTAAATTTTTCTCCGTTTAAATATAGCTCAGTCTAACACTAATGAATCACTAGGTAATGTTAAAATAAACTTAAAATTCAGAAACCCAGCATAAAAATTTTGCTTGGCAGTTTAGTAACACGTGGCTCTACTCTGAAAAATAGAACGAAATGGACTCGACTATACGTTTTGCTAATCTACTTGACTAAAATTTCGATGTTCAGTTGTTTTTAGTTATTACTCAGTACTCGACTAAATTATTAGCCTAACAAACTAGTTACAACTGTTATTATTTTGTTAAAAATGCGAAAACATAGATAGAATGCGTAATGATTGTAAAGTAGTTTCAAATCGTTAATTGGACATCAAAACCAGTGAATTTATGTCAGGTTAAAACTACAGTTTTTTGGATTCTAAAGTCAATATACAAACTAGTAGAAAAAAAAATTAATAAATCATTTAAATTGAAGACTGACAGATAATCGAGCGGTAGCGATTAAGCAAGTTCTTTATTAGGCATCTTTTAATGCAAACAACAAAATAAAATTTTACGATCCAAGTCATCCGCCGTTAAAGAAAATAACTTCGCGTTCGGTTCCCAGTTTGGTAACGATATAAATTAACAGTGCATGTGAGAGGCAAGAGCGGAGTTTTAAATAATTAAAAACAAGTTCCTTTAGTTACAAAGTGCAGGATAAATGCATTATTTGTTGTCGGAAGTTAAAAACTATGAATTTTAAATGACAGGATCTGTCAAACCCGCATTCCGAATAAAATAGATACTAAACTGTTTTTGCTTGTTTGTTCATTTTGTAAGTAAATGGCATAAACATTTTATATGATTGGCATCTTTACCTAACTCTTGTGAAAAGTAGCAGAATTTATTTAGCTTAGTCCATTCCTCTATAGTCAAAGTTTAAAATAAAGGGCGGGAGGTTTCGCGGGATTGACATCACACAAGGTATGAAGTCATTACTCAGATAAAAGATTACGCCCATTCGAGAGGATACGTCATTCACTGATGCGTACTGGCCGCAAAACGGATGAAGATTTTTTTTTAAATTCCGATTCAGCAAATGGCAAAGAGAATAGATTATGTGATTGCCAGGACTTTATATTATAAATAACAATTTATTGGATTAAAATAATTATAAATTACTACTTTAAATTAAATGTTTTAATAGTTTTTGTTATTACCAATTATGGCTTTCTTGAATTATAATTGTAACATCATTAGATTGACTTTAGCTTTCAAACGGCTAAAAATTAGGAGTTAAGGCTTCGCATGAAAATTATTTCAAGAGAAACTGAAATTACGGTAGTAAAAAGTATAATTTGGGAATTTACGATTGGGAAAACCTTATACAGTAAAATTGTCAAAGGAGTGTTGTTATCGATTTTGTCGTCAACCCTACAGTTATCCATGTGTTCGTTATATACCTTTGTGTGCGTCGGAGGGTCGAGGTACGAGGGTGGGTCTCAAACTATTCTCTATACGTATAAAATGGGTACGTATATAAATTATATGTCGTTCACCCCATCAATGGGAATTTACCCTTCGATTTTACATCATTCCCCGATCGGAACTAGTCGGTCAAAGTTTTTATTTGCCTTATCAATATCTTAAATCCACCCGAGTGGTCTACAATATGTCGGCTTCTTGATCGATTTCTACTTTTTTTTATAAAAATGTATGACCCGCAATAAGGAAAAACATTCCAAACTCCAATTTAAAATTAATAAAAATCAAACACATTATTACTAATTAAGATTGATCCTCGAACATTGTCATCGCCCATTTTTTTAAAAAAAGAACGTTTGACATTCCAAATTCAAATTCACCGCAGATGAATGCAGCTGACAAGTTTTTTCGTCCATAAACGTCATTTATTTTTTATTTTTAATCTGCCTCCAGCACAGACAATATAAACATTATGTCCCATCGAAAGTATAATTAATTAATGATGATCCGAAGTCATTCATATTTCAACAGAACAGATAAAGAAATCTGTTATCGGGTCCATGTTAATTTATTGTAGCGACGCGTTATTAATAATTTCGACGGCTCAAACTTTTTTATCGTTTGATTGACAGTATAATAGTAGTTAGTGCCTCTGTCGACATTAATAGCGTTAAAGTGTAAGACATTTAAGCCTTTGTGATCTTTACAAATGTCACAACTTGTTATCTATAGTCCGACGAACGGAGCAAAAACGTCCAACGGCATTTTGACGCTCTTCGTTCAATTTTTTTACTCATCTCGTTTACTAACTCAATAACAAGTAACAAAACTGGATCGAGTAATATGAGTAGTTAGCTTGTGAAAATGTCAATAAAGTCACTCACACCGTCGCTGTTTGTTTTTAAAGTTTTTTACTATTCCGAAGAATTAATTTAAATCAATTAACTAACGATTGTCTTAATAAATTGTTTGAAATTAACTATTGAATACTAAAGGAGCGACTGTTTTATTATAATAAGAGTTATTCTAATAAGAATTTAAGCTTTAATCAGATTAAAAATATGAAAGAAATAGGTTGAAAATGTAAAAAGTGATGGAAGTTTTATTGGAGACAGTTCACTGTAATAATAAAGGTAAGTGTTTACGACTTAAAAATATGCAGTCAAGTTATGTAAGAATGACTTACCACTTTCTGTCGACAAAGTTTCATTTCAGTTTCGGTTACAGCGGCGCGAAATATTTATTTTTAAACACATCGAACGCAAAGAAACTAAAAACAAAGATTCGAAGTATCTGGCTGCAGCGAAATAAGATGATAAAAGAAAGAAAAAATTCTAAAGTCAAATTCAAATTTGGAATTCGGAGACGCGCTCCCGAAGGAAATTCGAGAAAATCGTCGTCTCCAGACGGCGAACGGTGAGCGAATGTCCCGCTCAAACCGCGCTACAATTTCCTCAGCGAAAACCAAATCGACTGCGCCGTATAAGCATAGGGAAGGGTGGTTTTTCCTTCGAATTTCATAAGTATCTACCTTTCTTTATATCCAAGCGCAAGAA